ACAGCAGGATCGCCACTGGCTTCTATTCTGAGCCATATCTGATAACGTCTTTAGCCACTGTGTAGCACCATCTCTCGGACCCCAACCAGGGAGCCGAAGACCAACAGAAGTCAGCCCTTTGCAGCTTTCTTTCATACCACGACACCATGTCATACACTGATCACCTCTACGCTTTTTACAACCAGTCCCAACATCGGCAAATAATGTACAACGAGGAATTCTCTGGGACGACATTCGTAGAACATGTCCAAGCTACCGAAGTCGATGTTTCAAGATGGTGACACCAATTGAATTATCATCTCTGTGCCCGAACACACGATGCCGAACCTCTGCATTACTAACATGGTGTTGCCATGGGATGTCAGCAATCCTTCGGAGACAACGATGATCGAACACAGAGAGTCGTCTAACATCCTCAACTCGGAGAGGCCAGGTTTCACAAGCATAGAGCAAAACTGCTCTCACCGACGCGTTGTAGATCCGACCTTTTACAGCCAGACTAACATCACGAAGGCGCCAAAGGTGGCCCAGATTGGCATAAGCCGCCCCCAAATGCCCTGGTACGGCCGAGAGTGGGGAGAGTCCGCTCTCCCTCTCGAAATGCTATCACACGGCCACGCGTATATAGCCTCTGCCAGGGAAGTCCTACTGACTGCCTTCTCGTGGCGGGGGTGTTGTTTACGAAAATGAGAGGACGAAAAGCGAATGTCCGGCGCTTTAACCGGATTCCAAACCAATGGTGTACATGGGCTCCAGTATCCTGCGGGAACAAATGGCGTATGAACCAATTGTTGGTCACCGGCTTCCATGGGACTGCATCTCCTTACGATGCTCTACTGCCTTGTGGATCAGACTATTAGGTCGAAGGCTCGGGGAGTGGCCCCTTAAGAAAACCACCTGCTTCGGTCTGGGCACCCGGGCAGTATCATAGCCCTCACACATATCGAATGAGATTTGTGTGGCGCACATGTATTTGGTGCCTCTTTGTACCATTATCTATGTGTTGAAATAAAAGTAAAAAGACTTCCACTATACGTGGATTGATCTCAATACTCATGCCACCACCAGCACTTATGCAGCTACCCAGATACACGAACTTCTCGACTACTTCTATCTGCTCACCATCCAGCGTGAGTACAGGATTACAATCCTGCCAGTCTTGTAGAAGTACTTTGCAATTCGAAGGTGCAAAGCACATACCGTACCTACGGACACTGATTGCCGACTGATTAAGTTTGGAATGCATGGGGCTTGGGCATTATCACACAGTAAGACAATATCATCCGCATGTTCAAGGTCGGGAAGTCTTTCTCCAGGCAACAGATTCACGCCGTCATTGCCTACATCCATTATAGTTGTTTCCAGGATGTCATCGATGGTGGTGAGATTGGACAGCCCTGTCTAACCCCACTGCTTGAATGGAACAATGGAGAAAGGTGGTTACTGTTGTAACTCGTGGCCCGTGTGCCCTGTTAATGATAACGTAATGGTACCGCCAATTAGAGAGCAGTGAATTATCGATCGGACCAATGACGCGCGAAACCCGTACGAGCAGTCTAAAGTACTTATCGGTCCTGCTTGCTGCCTATCCCATCCAATTAGATCCAGAACACCAAACTCAGCCTCTGTGATATGAATCATTTATTTTTAACATACACGGTTTATATATCAACTAGACAGACCACATCGTACCATAAAACAGGAAACAACATTTGTACAAGATTTGGCCAAATGTGGCTGTGAATGTGGGAGATTGTGATTAATAGACAGGGCAAAATTCAAGAATGGTAAATCGTAGAACAGTTCATAGGTCAAAATAAAGCTTATAATAAGAGGGACATGAGTATGAACAGTTTAATTATTTAACAATTATACGATAAAATATACACATAGTATTGGTTCATAAATGGATCCCAAAAGTTACCAATCATTATTCTCATCGGGATATAACAGTTGTATGCCCTCACTCTACCTGAGGTGTTTGTATATAGGGCTTTTAGAATGTTATTAAACTTCACAGGCACAGCCTTCTTCAAGAGACAATCCCAGAGAACAGTTCTGTCCAACGAATTGAAGGCAGCCCTAATGTCAAAAATCTACGACTTTTGGCCTGTGATAAGTATGACGGTGTTCTAACATTTGGCGGAGGATATGATCAATACATTCTCGACCGGAACGAAAACCAGCCTGCTCCTCGTGAGTCAATTTTTCTCGGGTTTTGAACAACCTACGAAGTATGACGGAAGCCAATAGTTTGGACGCAATCGGAAGTAGACTTATCCCCCGATAGTTCTTGCATAGATGACGTGAATCTTTTTTAAAGATAGGGACGATTATCGACTCATTCCATGATGTTAGAACACTCTCTAACTGCCAAACTTTTGTGAACAACTCAGGCAGTTCCTTAACCAAAAAGTCACCACCATGTTTAAAAAGGGCCGGAGGCAAGTCATCTGGACCCGGTGATTTGTAGCACTTCAAGAGTTGGAGTTCCTTGACTCATTTGGTGGATCAGTCGTCACCGGCCATGGAGGGCAGGAAAGTCCGACCGATGTTGCAGGAGCAGCAGCCCAGTTGAACTGCCCTTCGAAGAATTCTGCCCATCGTCCAAGTCGTCGGTGGATGTTAGTGATTGGCATCCCATCATCCTCGCAGATTGTTTTACTCACACCAGACTTCTTGCTGCCAGTGGCTCGGATGAGTTGGAAGAGCTTCCGGTAATTACTAGATGCAGCTGCTGCTTCCAGCTCATTAGCACGCTCCGACCACCAGGCTTCTCGGTCCTTACGCAAGCTTTGTCCAATTTCACTACGTAACATCCTTCGTTTGTGGTTAAACTCACGGTCAACCGGAGTAGACCGATGGGTCTCGATGAGTTGTAAGGAGCCTGAAGAAACCCAGTGCTTATAAGCGGGACGTTTCGCCAAGCCTCAAGCGGCTTTAGTCGCCATTTCCATAGCGTCATGCAGTTGCAGCCAATGCTCATCTATACTCTACGAAAGGATGGTAGCTAGCCTAAAACCTAGCTTGGTTTGATACTTAGTTGCAATATAAGCTGCAACCAATTTACTGACATCAATCCGTTTTTGACGATCAATTCGCTGGCCACGGAAAAGTAACGTAAGATTGGCGCAGACCAAGGCATGATCAGAGTCCAGATAGGTACTCCAAAAGGAGCGGCAGTCTTGTACACAACCACGCCAGCGGTAGCTGATCGCGATGTGATCAATCTGAGTCCATGCTTGGGATGCAGAGGGAGGATGCCAGGTGGCACATCGGCGATGACTGTGCCGAAAGTTAGTGCTAGCCAGAAACAGGTTGTGGTCTGTGCACAGTTGCAGTAGACGGTCCTCGTTATCTGACCTGCGACCAACGAGTCCCCATCGGGCTGCAATCTGTCGGGGCATAGGCGGAGATGACGAAAAGACATCGTTCCTCACGCCGATTTCTGCTCACTTTGATAGAACTTTCTAATCTAACAGCGCATAACTGACTGTTAATGGGGATCCAGTCGATTAGTGCTGGCTCAGCTCTAGTGCTTAGTGTGACACCAACGCCAGGAAGACCAGACGAAGATGCCACAAGGTTCCCAGATAAGCGCACGTAAAACAAGCTTTTTGAAGTGACAGATGGAGAGCGAATTTGTAGTAATTCACCAGAGTCTTGAATACGGGTCTCAAATGGACAACAGACGTCGATATTAAGACTTTCTAAAGACATAGCCAGCCCTATCTGTTGTTCGACCTGCATAAATGTGCGAACGTTGAAGGCAACCAGTTTGAATGGTGCACGTGTTTTCAGAAAAACTGCTTGAGTATCCGTATTTGGTTGTAACATACAATTTTCAACCTGACAGTGACTCGAGAACGTTTAGATAGAACCGAGTTTCCACCATAGGTGAGCTGCTGTATAAGTCGAAAAATAAGGATACATAAAGTGGGAATAAAAGAGAGTGAGTAAATGACGTAGTAAATAATAATAATAATAATAATAATAATAATAATAATAATAATAATAATAATAATAATATTAATAATAACAATAATAGTGATAATAATGTGAATTGTTTGACGGTAAATCGAAGCGAGAATAGAATTTTCAGTAAATATAGTCATTTTCATTTTATTTGTGTGTGGGCTGTGATACTCCCCGGGTGCCCAGACCGAAGCAGGTGGTTTTCCTAGGGAGCCACACCCCGAGCCTTTGACCTAAAGGTCTGGCCACAAGGCAGTGGAGCAACGTGGGGAGATGCAGTCCCGTGGTAGCTAGTGATCAACAATTGGTTCATACGCGATTTGTTCCTTCAGGATACTGGAGCTTGTGTGCACCATTGGTTTAGAATCAGGGTTTCCCGGTTAAAGCACCGGACATTCGCCTTTCGTCCTCTCAATTTCATAAACAACACCCCCACCACGAGAAGGCAGTGAGTAGGACTTCCTTGGCAGAGGCTGAAATTCATAATGTCATGATATTGAAGTAGGAGGATAGTAAAACTATGTGAGCTGGAGGCGAACCACTCATAAAAAACTTGTGGGAAAATTTTCATGGAAATTTTCTAACAACCTTAAAAACTTGAAAATTACACCATCATCTACAGAAATAGGGCATGCGATTGATTTGAGGTGGAAATAAAATCATTTTGAACAATGTTTCGAGTTATATAAAAACTGGCCATCAGAAATCTACACATATAAGAATAAGTGTCAGACGCCAAGAGTGTAGCTAGATACACTTTTAATAATAACTACTTTATAACTAATAAATGTTTAACACAAACAACTGTTGGGATGATTTTTTTGATGTCTTTATATACTCGAAAAAGAACAACAAAAACAGCATCCATATATAATAAGGTTACTACATATGATAAATCATTCTATTCAGAACATCAAAATACGACTGGTTAAGGCGTCTACGTATATCACACTACTTTTGCTATGAACATTTTCTTGAGAATCGACATACATCGTCAGACTAAAATATTGAAATCGTTGGAATACTTACAAACATAAATCTAATATTAGAAATAATATAAATTATACTTACTGATACTATATGGTATGTTGGATGTAGCAGATGCATCTGGGCATACTGGCATTGGAATATTTTGACTTGACATAGAGTATATATTTGAATTTGTCGCTTGAGTAAAAGGATTGGCAAAATTGGGCAACTGAGGCATAGGTATATTGGGAAGTACGGGTACAGAACCGGGTATCTGCCATCCGGTACCAAGCTGGGGTAGATACACATTAGAAGTTTGATCATTCGGTATGACAGGAATAGGAGGTTGTGATAAGGAACCTTACATAAAACAAATAGAGTGATATACTTGTGATTTTAATTTACAATAAAACAATGTAAATCGCACATTAAAGTAGGATAAAAAAGGATAGGTGGTTTAAAATTACTATAGTGACTAGAACTCGTATTATTAACTAAGAACAATAACGATAACCGACCTGGATAAGGCATTGAACCAATGCATTGGGGATTTGACGGAGGATTTAAAATTTGCCGTTTTGTGATGGGAGCAGATTTAGAAAACACTGGAGATGTCTCACCAAACACAGCCTGTAAAACTGATATTAATTCAACTAGATCTGCATCTGGCTGTTAGTTGTAAACAAAATAAATGGGGATTAACGACAAGAAACCAAACTCTGAGTGAAATACAGTAATAAAAAAAATTATAAGACCACGAAATCAGTATTTTAAGTAGAAAAGTAATTAACATGAAATATTACTAGCTTTATACTGGTTAATTACTCTTTGATGTGGGGACTTGGAACGATAAAATATGTCCCAGGTTTTACGTTGCGTACGAATTACTGTATCTATTAATACATGCTATCCTGGTTAATATATTAATTATTATTGTGAACTTATCCTCTCCTAATCATTTCCAATATTGTAGTTTCGCTTGCTATGGTATATTTTGTATCAAGATACACTTGAAGAGCCACAATTTGTATCCTCAAAATAAAAGTGAAAAATATGTCAAGATGGATACAGAGACAGATAAAGATGAACCAGTGATAAACAGGGATGTGGTGTTTAATAATCTTGAGAAAAATAAGTTCATGCATTTGTTAGCTTTACAGGTGTCTAGTCGCACCACATAGGATAACCATAATACTTACTTACGCCATATACTGACTGCTAGTTTCCAAGAAATCAGATAGGAAGATCATAATTCCTTAGATTTATGTAACAGCAAATGACAAGAGTAACAACCGTAAATTAACCTATGCACTTTTTCCTAACCTGTTTCGTCTACAGTACTGTATATTCGTATAGACAGTGTCTTGGAAAGTAAAATACATCCTGTTCATTTTACCAGACCCATATTTACAACAACTGATCAAAACATTGCACCAGAAACACTTTGAACAACTGTGTAGTACAATAGAGTTTCAACAGGCAATCAGATATCTTGTTAATATGATAAGTAATGGAAGATAGACAAAATAGGTTGTGATTTCTAGAATTTCACCACCACCTGTTGGCTTGCAAAAACTGATACAAAACCTAGATAAGCGAAATAATAGATAAGTTGCTTTTCTGTAGTTACAGTGAGTACCAGAATTGACCAGTCCTCGATTATTATCTTGCATTTGGAAGTTATAAAATGTACTTTAATATTTTTATAGAACGTTCGAAAGACTAGTTGGAGTTATATCAAGTGCCTCGTGACTTATTGAATGCATTTATTTCTATCTTACTAACAGGAAATTCAGGTAGGTCTTTATTTTCTACTCAATCCATCTTATCTCACTATATCGTTAGGTTGGTCAAGCACCAGTACCATCTATTAGTAACTGAATTATAAGACAGATCATAGAACTTCCTATGAGTTTAAAGCAATATTGCTTCAGTTTTTCATTCCTTATTTTCCTCATTTATTCCGGGCTGTATTTTTTACTTAGTATTACTATAATCATAATAATAGGATGACACTTTCTCCTCCATTTATTCTCCAGTTGTTAGTTCGGTTATAATGTTAATTTAAAGTGTAGCAGCTCGGATCAATCCAAGCTTTTTCCTAAGTTCTGTGTTATTTGTACACAGTTGGTTGACTGAACAAATGTTCCAGTTCAGCAGCTAGAGTTATTAGCTACTGTGATTAAGTCGGTTTATAAGAGTAAGCCTGGAAGTAACCACTCGAAATTAACAAATACAAAACTAATGATACAAGCACATTGGTATGCGTACTGGATCTACTCCTTTTGTTTTAGATCCATCGAACAAAAAAATGTTTAGTTGTACACAACAAAGTTTCTATTAGATATATTTTTGTTTTCGCATAACCATACACGCGAAGCGGCTACTAAATTAAAAGACCGAAAAGCTAATTGCACAAATTTAATACGAAGTTTTATATAGGTTCTAAATATTGATATAAACCTACGGGACGAGATACCCTTGTTACTGGTAGTACGATATTTCACAAATAACACTGGAAGAATAATGACCACAGTATGTTTTTTGGTCATTTTCAAGGGATTCAAGAGATTATTTTTAAAGACAAGCCAGTATCAGGAAATGGAAAGTACATTTAAGCTGTCCGGAGTACATTCAGCCATATAAATTTCCTATCAAAATTAGGGTGAGATTGTTGTGTTTTAGATAGTTGTCTAAAGGGTTACTACTTTAACTGCTTAGAAACACTCACATGTTTCCAGTCTGTCATGTACGGCAGTTGAACAAGACCAGCACTGTCAACAAAATCACTCGGCTTTATCTGCATAGTATTTGTGGGCCTCACATAAACCATAGGAGACTTGTGTGGATAAGCTTCGAACAGAAATATTGCAATCGGGATATTGTAAGTTGAACCCATATACCTGACAGGAATAGTGCCGTCTAAGCTCACGAGTCTCCGGGAAGTTCCATCATTTTGGACTACATAGTACATTAATTAATATTTAAACTTACTGAAATCTTCGAACTTGGGACGTAATTCCTTAAATGCTTTCAGGGCACAAGTGACATCTCTACGAACGATTTGTGGGTATGTATACTAAAAAAGAGTTTAGATGATGCATAGTGAGGCTTCAAAATGTACTTTCGCCAGGCATTTAGCGGAAATCCATTCGTCGGCAGACATTAGGTAGGTGTCTGAATATGCCACACTTGTGAAGGTCGAAGGCTTCAAGGTAGCTCAGTGTAGCGGCCACGTCTAGCCAGGTGGACATGCGGAGGAAAGGAGAAAAACAAAAGAAAAGGTGAGTCGACGACCCACATGATGCGCTACAAGCACATGGCTTAACCCGCTATACTCCAATCTTTGTTCTTGGTGAATGATATATACGACACCAAAAACGATCAGTAACATTGATTTTTAAGTCTTTATTACGATGACATTCACCTCCTCATTTTTGCCGCTAAATAATGTCTGTTTATCTTCCCATTATCAAGAAGGCCAAGTACAATATTTTTTTCTTAATAGGTACTTTGTGTTTTATACTTTCCAGATCAAGAGCCTATTCACTGAACTCATTTGAATTTTCTCGAATAATTTGATTGACACTGTGTTGCTTATCACTTCTGTTGTAATGTTTTTAATGTGTAGAAGTAGTCGAGTTACTTTAATTGTTCACATATTGAGGTGATTATTTTGATAAAAATTTCGTTGGTTTTTGGTCGGAAAGTATCATAAATTTGTCTATTGGTTTATAAATGGTCATGATGTCACATCTCTGTTGTTACGACGTACGTGCTGCTGATGCCGTTGCAGGACTAGTGAAATGTCACTGAGTCCTAAACAAATCATCCTGCACTCGGGCCACTGAATATCGGACAGTTCACCGATCCTCATCAAAATGAAGGATGTAGGGCCAGTGAAATGTCACTGAGCCCTAGCCAAATCATCCGGCAGTTGGATCACTGAATGTCGAACAGATCGTCGCTCCCTGCCAAGGTCATGTACTACAAACGCGCATTAGTTAATCATACGCCATGGACTGGCCCATGCGGCAGTGGTCTTACTTTCGCTTGTATCTACTTTAACTAATATATTTCTGTAATAACGTCCTTTGTGTTGTACAGTCTTCAAAGCATCTATAGTACCTTGTTACGTCAATGGGGGTAGTCCATGTAAGGTGCTGACCACGAGGTGTGACTTCGACGTTAGTTGGTTCGTCACACTATTCACGTCTAACTCGAGTAGGCCTCCAATCATTTCGACATAGATCATCTACGTTGGTGATCTACACTGGTGAGCAAGACTTCGAATAACGCAACCTATCTTTATAATCTTTATTATTGTATTATATACTTATTCTTTTTCATTTTTATCATCGCCTATGTTAATCTGTTACTGTGAACTTTCGTTGCTTCATGTCAATATTGATTAGCATTTAAACCTAGATAATTCGTTCAATCGACAGAACTAACCAATCAACTACGATTATAATCGGCTATCGTGGTTCTTTAACAAGCATTAGCAGCATGTAAATGCTCCTGTGTAATATGTCTGTTAAAATATCAACCACTCGTGAGTATAGCCACAAGGCAACACGAACGCATATCTCTTTGTACCTTATCCACTGGTATAAATAAGACAAGATTAACTATCGACTATAAATTCATCTTTCTGCTTAACCACTATCCACTAGAATGTTCTGCTTTTTTTACCACTGCCTGCCTAATTTCCAATTGCTGAGTTCCATGGCCAAACAGAGGATACGAATGCTAGAAATTCACGGTGACTTTGAACTATAAATTTCCTGCGATCTTAGATCTCGTTTAGACTGTTCGTCAGTCTACAACGCTGTGTTAATCGAAAAATCTAATCAACAGTACCTCGTACATAATCCAGATTCAAACTACTGCCTACTTCATTACTTAAAGGCAAGAGTAACCCAGGCGAGTTTCATAATTTCATTAGATTATTTCGTACTATATTTATGATGCGTGATAACATTTCGTAGTTGCTTTCACGTAAACTAGTCATATATTCTGTCACTGCCGTCAAGTTTTAGTCGAAATCATGTACATTTATGACTCGTTAGTCGATATACTGTGGTAAAACATATTGCATGTACACGAGCACGCTTAGTCCATGTCCCAAGTACACACGTTGTCGTACTTAATATGTCACTTAACGCTAGGTAATAAGCTCTTTGTATCAGCCTTTTACGAAATGGCCACGTTACCTGGACCCTCTAAACCTTAGTTACATTGGTGGTTACCATTTTAATTAATGTTTATTATACCCCTTGTATTTGCTATTAATTCACACGGTAAATCATGGCTCGATTTCTTTATTACACGACAGTCATTTTAATCCTATTTTCGGTTTATTTACATGCGATACGGGTTTGGAAAATATCTAAACGTCCTCGAAAATTCTCCACGAACCCAACCGTAGTTTTCGTATATGCTTTTATTCACACATCCAACAGTTACGCTAATAATACCTAAACGAACGTTCAGTGCAACTGTCAGTATACGTAAGAACGATGTTATTTAGACTTGACATTGTAACACATCTGAACTATTGTAGTTATTCTACTTCGATGTCGTACTTTATTTTATGAAGCATTGTTTCCTCGTGTCTGCTATTTAACAGATGATTTCGGCACATCAATCGGCTGTTCAACTACTCGACGATTTACAACCTGTCCAGTTCAATTGGTGGTCTGACGACAATATCATTCGCGCGAATCATCAGTTTATGCAGTCGAGCGAATCTCCTGCAAACTGAAAACGATATTGTCGCCTCTATCCCAACACTGACAGCGTTTTTCACGGGTATCATTGACATGAGTCCAGAGTGACACTCTTGGTTTCTTATGTTCTTTTCGATATTTTTCTGTTCACTAACCGAACAAACACGCAGCATTCACCGTTTATCATCTTTTAGAGACTTCATCGTGCCACCTTTGCTGTCGATTTGTAGCCTTCAACCCTTACTGACTGTAACAGCAGTCATCGACTTTTCAAACTGTGACTACAAGTTGGTCAATAGCTTCGCACAACGAAATCACGACCACTCTTCACTGTTATACTTCTGTACTTACGGTTAGTCTGTTAGATATAGATATAACTAGAATTTGACACTAATTAATAGCTGTCAACGACACTGTCCGACTTACAACTTTAAACTAATGACAGTACAAATATGGATATCGATTGATAATACACTTATCCTACTATCGCTATAGCATCATTACTCTTGCGGCAGACTTAACGTTTGTCATCGGAGGAACTGAATTACTTATCAACGCTATATATTTCAGCGCGACTTGATAGAACAATAAAACGTTTTGTACTTTTCATTATTTCTATGGTTAATCGCTTTACGTTTAACCAACGTCCTACTAACATATTATGACTCGCTGTTTCCCGACCAGTTTCTGCCGCCTCCTTTCCATTTCTTTTATAGATAAGCAATACCTGGAGGATTTATAATATTCGTTTGGCACTCTCTGGCGCGCGACTGCTCCCAACATGTTTGGTACCGATTCAAACGGCCGTTGAATCTGGTGGGGGAGTATTGTAGGGCCAGTGAAATGTCACTGAGCCCTAGCCAAATCATCCGGCAGTTGGATCACTGAATGTCGAACAGATCGTCGCTCCTTGCCAAGGTCATGTACTACAAACGCGCATTAGTTAATCATACGCCATGGACTGGCCCATGCGGCAGTGGTCTTACTTTCGCTTGTATCTACTTTAACTAATATATTTCTGTAATAACGTCCTTTGTGTTGTACAGTCTTCAAAGCATCTATAGTACCTTGTTACGTCAATGGGGGTAGTCCATGTAAGGTGCTGACCACGAGGTGTGACTTCGACGTTAGTTGGTTCGTCACACTATTCACGTCTAACTCGAGTAGGCCTCCAATCATTTCGACATAGATCATCTACGTTGGTGATCTACAAGGACAACTAGCGCGCATCAGTTAATTGCATGTCATGGACTGGACCAGTTGGTGTTGGTCACCTGTTTCTTGTATACACTCTTACTAATATACTTTCGTAGTAACGTCATTTGTGTTGTACGGTTATCAAAATTCCCATGGTACCTGGATACGACGAAAAAGTGATCCGCGTTATATGCTAACCGTGAGGTGTGTCTTTGACGTTAGCTGGTGAGTCTAAGTATACTAGGCTCTCAATCATTCGATACAAGAAATTGGTGATCTACACCATGAAACGTTCACTAACTCAACCGTTCTTTAAAAGCTTATTATGAATCGGTATTTCCACAGTTTGGTTCTTTTCCACCTGGCTAAACACATGTTTTCTCGATCTAAGGCGGCCTTCCTAAATATCTGTGCTACCTGTTCCTGCCATCTAGATATTTCAACAAGTTATAGGTTTCCTTGTTTGTTTTAACAGATCATTATGTCAGTTGATTACCTAAATTAATGATATGCGTTTGTGGAAATTTCGAGACCTTTTGCTGTACAAGTTACATTTGTAACAGCGTAGGTTGGTTGGTCAAGAGTTGACCTCAAACAACCAAGCATATGCCAAAACAGTACAGGTCAAGTATACATTCACTTCCTCACTTTGCATAGGCGTTATATTTCCTATTATCTTATATTGAATGTTGAGAGGCTTTGTTTGTCCGAACAAATAATCCCAGGCTCCACTGTGACTGCGCGCAGATGGAAATAAAGACCTATTCACTACTCGTCTGGTTTCTTCTATCAATAGCACGAGGGTTACCTTAAGGCACGAAACTGGTGAGCCCGACATGATATTGGTAGAAGAAACCAGACAAGTAGTGAATATGTCTTTATTTCGATCTTCGCGCAGTCACAGTCACGTATAATCGGAGACATCGTGATGGCTGGCAATATGCACTGGAAAGAATGGATATTATTCAGACGTAGACTTCTGAAATGCCAATATCCAACTAGCGGCCACTCAGTATTTATCGTCGATATCCATCAGGAAATAAGAAACAGAATCTCGCTGAAATATTTTGTGCTGAAAATTCTATATTGTGCCAAAAATATAATATTGAGTTAAGCTAATAACAAATGAAAAATAAAGTAAATAAATAAATAACGTTTTGATCATTGGTGGACGATAAATATAACACACTCCATCCAGACTACTCGCCATTCAGTTATGGCAACTATCAAAGAGATCCAAAGTCCTGGTCTATGGTAGGAGAATTCTGAGTGAAACTCCAGCTAATGTCTAACTAGGTGACAAAGAAACTTGTCAAAACATGACATCAAAGGTGAAAAAAACTGTGAACAGTTGTGTTTATATATATTTCATACTGATGTGTGAGCGAGAATGATGATTAGTTGGTTGCTTAGTGTTAGAACGCTCGGTTTTACTT